ATCAAATCCAATATTTATCACATAGAATATTTATTTTATAGTAATAGTGGAAATAATTAAAAATCTGTGTAATTGAGACGAGTATAATTTATTCGTAAAGTTTCATCGAAACCTACAACATCTGTTATGCCTGTCAAATCTTCAAAACTTCGCAGAATACTAGGGCGCTGACCTAATTTTTCTATAACCTGCAATGCAGCAATAAGTCGCCGTATAACTTATTGTGAGAAAGAATTACTGTTCGAAACAATGAGATGAAGCAACGGCTTTATTAAGTTACCGGGATTTCGTGAGCAGTCATGGCACACTCTCAACTTCATTGTGCACGACGAGCACGCTGTCGACTCTCTTAAATTAAATAGATTAACGATATAGTTTTTTTAATGAATAACAGTGTAATTAACACATGAAAAGTTACAACCTTTATCAATAGAGATTATACGATCGAGTTATTTTTACCTATTCTACCTAATGGAAAGTGACCAACATTAAATATAATAATAAACAGTACCTTGAGCATCACAAATTTACTAATTAAAATAACGGTATCATAAAGTAATATTAATAACTGTTTTTCGTACCTATTGCTTTTCTTTATCCCTTTTCTGTGTGTTTAGCATAATCATATTTTAATTTTAGTTATATCACATATACATTGCGTATATGCCAAAATTTGAAAAAGAAAATTTGTAGTATTTACCTGATTTATTCGCTTTGGTCACAATTAGATTGTTGTTGTTTAATACAACATTTGCGTAGATATTTTGTGATATAAATTCCTAAATTTTTATTATTATATATTGCTAATTTGCAAATATATATGTCATACTGCAATTATTATCACAGATAACGGAATAATTTCCGCTTTCATCCCACACCTACTTTTATTGACTATAAAAAGTATAAGTATTTTCGTCCCGTAGTAATATCGGCGCACTTGCATTACAGCTTATATCCTGCACTCTTACCATAAAAGCAGAGTGCATCTTTCACTTTCTGCAGTCGTAAAAGGGACTATAGCGATTAAATAAGCACTGCGAGGCGACCGAGAGAATTTCGTATAATAAGTCTGAAACTAGGTTACATAGGAAGGTAACCGAGTAGATAATCGTGGAGTAATATCCTAAAAGTACATCTTAACAATACTTTCGTAGTGATACTTAAAAAAATATAATCGCCTTCAGAGCATTGTTACCTAGAGGTTTACCACCTTAAAGGTCGTGAGTCCAAATCTGATGACATAAAAAAACATTGGTAGTATCTTAAATTGTCAATTCGTTTTTCAGACTAATTTTCCGATAATTACATACTGGTAACAAACCAAATTAATTACTAGGAAAATTACTGAAATCAAACTTAATGAACTTTATAAGCTACAAAATATATAAAAGATAGCCATGTATACTCCATATAAGTATATAATTTCCGCGTTTTAAATACCTTGTAGTATAACAACATAAGTCCAATAAAAGATTTGCATTTCATAATAAACTGCATTCGCTGCAGTAACTTCATTTCTGCGTTCATATTATCATAATAGAGTGCAGAAACTCCCCACTAGGAAGGAAGCAACGTATCATCATTGGGTTGAATTTACATACTGCAAACGTTATACATAGTCAACGTAGGTACTCGTATCCAATCCAATAAGAGTGCTCAGAAGTCATTTCGCTAGGACAGTTGCGCCTAGAAATCTCTATGAATTTATTGATGTGACTAGTATTGGAAGGGTCTTATAATAAGTAAGCAAGGTTATCCATATTTATAGTGAATAAAGTAGATTCTAGAAGTAGAAAAGGTCTATACGGACTAATAATAACTTTATTTAGAAGAAGTTGATATAATTTAGTAGAAGTTATATTAAAAATTGTATTAAGTTTTTTAAATTTTTTTTAATAATTTATATTCAAATGCTGAGTAATCACACTAAAGAAATCGAAAATATAAAAATAAAATTAACTAAATAGTAGTTAACGGTACTTATACCCGTAATGGCCTAAATTAAAAAATAAAATAGAAGGACACTCATTATTATGAAAATAATGAAATGCTATGTGAATAACGGAGAAAGATAATGTATTTGAAGTATAAAAGAAAACTTAATTATATTAAGCATATTGACAGAAAGTATGCTCTGGTATGTAGGTAAGTGATATCTATATAACTGTTATAAAGCTGTAAAGTATATTTGTTTGACTTAACGCGCTAATCTCAGAAACTACCTTTTCGAATTGCCTCTTATAGGCCATTTTTTAAAGAATGCTATATAATATGATATGACCAATAAGAGCTAAAATTTAAAAGTTTTGCAAAACCTGGGAAAATGTGACGCAGACGAAGTTGTGCTAGTCAACTAGTATATTGGTATTGTGGTTAAAATATAATGTCGTTTAAGAGCTCTTGTAACAGAATACGCACCTTATACCTACAGGTAAAAAAATCTAAGACACTTTTATTCTTGAGTAATTTAAGCGTATGCTCGAGCACGGTGAATTTATAATTTAGAAATTGCACGAAAGGGGCGGATATTCTTATAAATTTTACATTATGAAGTGTTCCACTGTCACATAGATGGGACCGAAACGACGCAAACTTCCAGATTTCAGTCTCTATGAAATTATAATAGTCTGTGCTAAAATAAAAGCTCTTTGATATATGTTGCCGCATTGTTTTTTTTTGTTTTTGATATACATAAACTTTACGTTCCGTAGCTGTACATAAGATATTTATTTTAACAATACTGAGCCACATCTATATTTCGTCTCTATATGTTTGTTTTAATAATTTATATTAAAACTTCTTACGGTCAACTTATATTATATTATATTTGAACCACTCAAGCAATGAATCATGCACGATTAGTATAATAATAATATTCCAACATAATTCTTATTTAACTTAAATATCGACTACGTGACCAGACAAAAGTTGTGTAATAAATTGCCACTGAATTAAATGGGATCTGACTTACTGTAAATAATATAAGTACATACCCCCAACACCCACATAAATTTACGAAATATGCCATTTCTCGTCTCGTACTTCAAAGAACGATTAAAGAGCGCTATTAACCCACCTTCGCTTGAATTCAGTAGGTCCTTAACAAATTATCTACACCTACTAACATTATAAAGTGGAAAGATTTATTTATTGTATTTTATTTGTAACTTATAGAAAATTTTATTCTTAGCGAATTATCCATATATACACTACATTATTTGCGGGTTAAACAGTTTGTTATGAATAAATAACAATAACAAACTCCGAATATATCCCACAGCGTAACCCTATACGAGTAGGTACCAGATAACTGTTAAATATATTTACTTACATAATATGCATAAAAGCCGCGCAAAATATTAATAGAATTAATTTATTAAAATTAATTCGCGTTGTATTACAACCAATTCCTTCTTTAAATAAAAAATGATTTATGGATGTTTCATGAAAAAGACAAAGCTAAGTAAACTTAAAAGTAAAAATTGTTCATACATATATTTTCTTTGTAAATAACAAAGTCCATATTAGACTTTATATTACAATAGATAAAGGATATAGACATATAAGTAACGATATAGATATATTTTTATAACGCAAGAAAAAACATGCCCATAGGGAAATTATTTTTTTAAGGTTTTACTGGGAGCAAGGAAAACGTCCAGATGGAACACGTTCAGAGGTGATAGCATTGTTCTAGAAAGTTCTAGAAAGATTTCCTAAAAATAAATTATATTTTGCACAGAAGTTCTCTGATACTAATGTTGCTAAAAACGTCTATAGAGTGAAAATATGTATCATAAATACCTAAATCTTTAGTAATAATATGTACAGAATGATGTCGGAAATAAACTAATAACATTTAAAAAATAATCATCACAATTTGTTCTTAATTTACACATACAAAAATACAATACAATACATATATAAACATACATATATAAATTTCAACACCTTCACCAATTTGAGTTAGAAAAATAAACACGTATTCCATATCTTTCTACAATCAGTTTTAAAGATAATAACCCTGTATGTCTGTCCAGTAGACATCTCTACAGAACTCTGCCAATCATCACTGGCACTAAGTGGTTAAAGTAATTAGCAAATACTAATGGTAAGGTGATTAACCTTTCGACTTTATTTTGCAAAAAAAACTTAAAACCGCTGATAAATATCTGAGAACTGGTTAATTTGAGATCATATCATATACATACATATAGATGATATAAATTAGACATGTAAATATTAAAATAACAATAAATAAATAATAAATATAGTAATGTCATCGATCAATTTTATACACAAACTTTTTATAATGCTGAAGTTGATAATAATAAAATAATATTTCTTATATACATGTAAGCTGTAGTGCTATCATTAAACTCATGGCAAAAAATTATACTACTTTATATACGAGTAATATGTACCTAAATTGGTTAAGAACAATCGATAGAACCAAATACGGAACAACAGACTGCACTGAATATTAATAATCAATATATTTGTATTTATCATAATCATTATAAAAATACTTCGATATTTTTAAAAGAGTCATACTATATTCCTAAATACAAAATATATTAATAAATATAATAAAAATATAATTTGACAAAAAAAAATTTACAATAAGATCAAAACGTAATATTTAAAAAAATCTACATGAACATTTTGACATAAAGTGAAGTCTAAAAACAAATATCTACTCAATTCTTTTTATTATTAATTATAATATACATTTTTATACATTTTTCGGGATCATTTGTTACAATATATGCTTGCGATCTGACTGAAGAAAAATATTACAGGATATAAAACTGTAGGTTTGTTTTATGTTTGCTATAAAAAGCTATTCGTGATAAAATTGAAAAATAATTGCTACAGACATATATTAACCATAACATTCTGCTAATTTAAAGTGTATTGAGAATAAATTATTCATTGTATAAATATAGTATTATAAATAGTAAAACAAATACGATTATTGTAGTGTGCAAAAAACTTACCGATTAAACCAGGATTCGGGATAACTGGCCGAAAAACTTCAAAATGAATAAAAAAACATTAAATCATCTTCTAATCAAGCAGTCCACGAAAACCTTAGTCTTCTTTTGTTTTTTAAAATTTGAATTTCGAACAGTTTATTATTTATTTTTTCAATGCAAATGAATCGTAAGTCGCGTGTTCTGTGTGAAAGTGCGACGAACTGCGCGAGCTTCGGTGAGTAAAGGCGACAACACACTGTGAGAGCGGTGGCAGGCTGCGCCAGTGCCCCCTCCGGCTATCACTCTACTTTCGGTTATTCTCTCGCCTCCCTCGAGACCGAGACCGATTTATCACAGTTCCGTATCGTGTTAGCTTGCAGACAATTCAGAGTCGACATTCGCGGTATGACACAGACTGTTTCTTATACAAGTCCTTACTCACCACTATTCGCAAACCGACAAAGTATCTCTGACCGCATAATGTCACGGGTAATGACTAAATTACTAAATAAGGCTAACCCAGATTAGTATTCCGAAAACAGCAAAATAATTGCAGTTACATGTCTTAATTTTCTAGTAGAAATGTAAAGTTGAGTATCTGTACCTTCTTTTCTTATAGGTAAGATATTTTTAAAAGCCTCATTATTTACGAATTACCACTACTGCAATTCTGCTGCCATTTATGGGTCAACACTGAATCAACCAGTAACCCAGGTAATGGGTCAGAAAATTTCATTTTTTTTTTTTATTACACACTACAGGTTACTGTCCCTGATCTAAGTTAAATAAAATAATTTCAATATTATTTATTAAAGTTCAATATTCTAGGTCATAAATACACTATAATTTCACTACTATTCTCTGTAATCTAAGTATTATTGTTTATTTCTTCAATAATATTTTTTTATTGCACGCGCTCGAATATACTACATACCCTTCTTTAATGTACAGAAACCACATAATAGAATCACGAACCAATTTCTTAGTCGAGTGTTACTATTGTTGCTTTCTATAGGAACGTCTATGGAAGAAAGTAAATTTCTTCCCATACGTCAGTCAAGCACATCATAAATGAATTGGCTACAAGTATTTCTATGGAAGAACAGATACGACAACTCTTGAAACCTTCAACAATACACGTCATAAGACATTCAACTTCATGATAAAGTGTATAATTACAAATGCAAAGTCATTGTTCTTAATGATGGATCAATCCGTAAAGAAAATAATGTTCAGGATCAATCAGTCAAATATACTGATTCCGATTCAAATCCACAGAAAAGTGTAAATAACTCTAAAATTTACTTTCCATGAATGGATAATTTTAATTGAATATAAATTACTATCATATATTCGTGTATTACTATTAGATATGTAGTTTGATAGTCGACTTCAAAAAGGTTAAAAAATCAATTTATCTGCTCTGACAGCTTGTTTTTGTATAGTTTATGATTAAATATTACAATATTTAGTGTTCATATTATTTTTAATATTATTATTATTATAAATAACAAAGTAATGCTATATAGTAAAAATTTTAATTGAAATTATATATTATATTTGTGCATTATCCAAAAACACATCTAAAAACAAACTATACAAGCAGCTTTTCCCAGGGACATTAAAAAAACGAGTGCAGTGAAACCGCAGAATCATGTGCCCTTCATCTAAAATTTAAAGCAGCCGCCAACTAATTGCTGGTAAAATCGTGAATTCACAAAAAGTAGACAGCAGACTTCAAGTCGAGCGACCTACGGCGCGCACACCTGAATTTTTGATCAGAAAAACAGATCTCGCTGTCCCGAGTGTAATCCGAACATTATAAATCGATGACTAGGACTTTTTGATTGTTCAGCCATCTGAAAAATAGATACATGACGTCATTTTTTCATTACTAATATTATATATAATAAATCTGTGGATTGTGTTTACTTGACGCAGTTTCAATCTACTTGCCGTTGTAACAATTTGTATCTCATATTACAACTATTATGTAAATATCAATTTTAGCCAGAATTTGTTATAGCATATTTTATCATTTCTTTAAGATCCATTGTACTCTGCTTTTTTTGGGACTTGATGGCGCTGTATGAATTATATTATCTTCAAAATTATGAGCAAAACTAATATAAAAGCTAGAAAAAATTAAGGCACTTACAACAAAAAGAAGTTTATGCAAATTCAAAATTGGTCAATTAACAAAAAACCTTTTTAAAGCCGTTTAAAATATTAAACGACTTAGACAAATATAACACAAACAAACTCGAATGCTACTAAGAGTATAAATTATTTCTATTAATTTTCGATCAAAAATTAGGTTTTTCATATACCTAATATTAATAGAATGATATTTCTTTTCTTAAAAGCATTCGATTTTAACCTTTAATTTATTACCGCAAATTAAACGTTAAAAGTGTACGGAGTTAAGAAAAACTTTCTTTTACTTTTATGGCTAAACGATAACAAAAGATATTTGAAACTGAAAAAGCAAAGGTATCATAAACTCAGTTATGCAAGGCACGTCTGGGGTGAAATATATGTAAATTAGAGAGCTGGAGAACGTGCTCTGATCCCCTGTAATTCACTGATTTATTGGTACAGGTACCAATGCAAATAACTGGCTATATTTGATTGAGTTCCTCGCGAATTATATCCAAAGAATGTTACCAATTACTTATTTAATCTTCTCAATGATAATAGTACAGTGTCTCTAATATATGCAAATTTAAATGGTTAATTTAATTACATTTAATAAAAAATATTTGAAAATAGAACTATACTCTCATCCAATCGTTACTTCCCATGCTGTGTTTAGTTGACTAGAAGAGATCTTTTTTTCTTTGCTTATAATGTCTCTAATTAATTTTATTTCTATAGGTTCTTAGTTACATAAAAATAATAATACGTTACGGGTCATAATGTTATAAACATTATGACATAAGCCTTATGAAATATAATATAAATTATATTATATGTCATAAGGATTTTTAAAGTTAACGTTGACCGATTATAAATTTCCTCATTACAATCAATATTATGAACTTACCAGTGCCTTTAAAGTAACTTCAGATAAAAGAAAGGACTCAATTAGTCTTTATCATTATCATCATATTATATTTAAGAATATATTTCTTTATCCTCTATAGTAAGATCAATCATTGAAGTAATATATTTATAAGGTACCTAATATAGATTTTATTATAAAAATATTCCTAGCAGGCTTACAAGTTGTTCATTTCAGATCAACCTATATGTACCTTACGGTTACTTTACAAGCGTTGTGGTTGATTAACGAGGTGTTTTGCTTTGAAGGAGATGAAGTATGATCAGGTATTTAATGGAGCTGTCCGTCATATATAATAAATCGTTTCTGAGATAAACTTAATACTAAATCAAGCAAAAACTGTAAATTTAGATAGTAACGTATATAAAGGTGACAATTTTCCTGCCTTTAATTATGTCCATGATGTATTATTGGACATATAATTAAGTACATAGTGTAATAGATTATTTTATTGTTATTTGAAAAACGTTATATATCATTCTGATTGGTCGATATCTAGTATACGTTGTATTTAATATTACTTTGTTACAAGATAAACATTTTATTATAATCTTAGATTTTTTATCTATTTTCGACTTCAAACAGAAAGCACAATCATACAATATACGAAATATATCCTAATGCTAATTATATCGTAAGGCTAATTATAGATATAAAAAAACTGCTTCGGAAATGTGTAAAAAAAAACTTTGTACATTAAAACTTCGGCTTGCGGCAATAAACCTCTAAGGAACTTCGCAATAAGCAATGCCTAATACTTGATTGGATTTTTCCTATCTGTATTAGCTTGTTTCAAAATACGTATCTATTAATAAAAAATAATCCAACTAAAGACTTCGAGCAATCAATCTGGATCAGTTCCTAAGTAATTGCTTTTCCATCGATGTTACATTAGTGTGTATTAGTTTGTACGGTAAATTTAAAGGTCCTTGGATTTTTGCCATAGATTGTCTTAGCATGTAAGTAACGATACGTAATTGATTTTTTCCTATAAATCAAAAGCTATTTACATAAACAATACCCATTTTTTAGATATAGTTTATACTTAAATATATACAAAAGTTATATTTAAAAGTTCAATATTATATTTAATATTTTAATTGGAGTATCTTGGAGAAAATTTTATATGTTCATCTATAATATCCATTGTATTTTTTAGATACATAATTGGTTTGGCAAATAAGTCCACCTGAAGTGGTAACCGTCGTCTATCCTCTATTTACAAGGACAGCAATACGGATATCACGTTATCATGTAACACCTATCACTACTACAATATGTTGACATTCCAGAGGACTAGAAGAACAATGCTCTTGTCCAGTAATTTCTCTGCCTTACAAAGCAAGCTGTATAAAGCTTGACATAAGTAGATACTTGGGTACTTCTACCCGCTAAATACTTTTTATAAAGTCTACTTCGTCCAAATTATATTATATTCGTCATCATAATAACACATAATCATCGCACTGATAGTTGCGAATCTATTCTAATAAGTTTATTCATTCTGTTTTTTATCCTTACATAATATATCCTTAATATAAATATATATAACTGAAAGGTGACTGACATAGTGATTTATCAACGCACAGCTCAAACCACTGGACGTATCGGGCTGAAATATAGAACGCAATCATAGTACTTTTAAATATATTTGCAACACACACTTAGCAAAAGTATACAATCTATGTGATAATAAGTAATTTCCAGACGTGGACACCTATAACAACAGACCTGTCATGTTCTAGACTACATACTCTGACACTGTTTTGTTGTGAAGCTCTGGTAATTATATTTATAAAAGAAAAGTAGTTACTTGCTTGTGATCTATTTTTATACAACATGGAGTAACTAAAACAACGAACGGTAGCGCAGTTCTATAAGAATACAGCAGTTTTTAAAACGGGCTCTCTGATATCTTTTATTATATTTTTTTAAAGACTATAAACTATTATTTTATTCACCTAAAATAAATTTACAAAATAGAGATTGCAACGAGGTGTTTATTCTCGTCTTATTTTAAGCGTGAATTTTAGTGGTGACACTATTAGTAATAATATCTATATTATGATATGGTAATAATATTACTTTATAATAATATTGACTTGCGCCTTTTTCATTTAACTTATTCAATTACTGCCGTCCCGCCTCCGCTTCTCCACGGGATCAAATATGTATTTTTTTTTAAATAA